TATATATACTGTATATTTACATGTCTAAATGGTTCTTAATTGTTTATTTCAGTTTTAGTTGTTTTAGTACTTTAAAGTTAAACTAAATAATATTATAAATGATGCCTTGGCAACTAGCTAGTTTTTATTTTATTTAAATTGAAAATTTTTCCAGTTTATTTCAAGTGATGAAAATGTTTTTTTATGGTTTTTATTTTAGTTTTCTTTAATAATACTCCTGTTTGGAATGACATGAGGGTTAGTAACTGATGACTGTTCATTTCAGGGTGAACTATCCATTTAATAGTCTTTATGCAATGAACGCTGCAGTAATACAGTTGATGTCTAATTCGTTCTTTATTCCCTATTACACTTCAGACCTAAACTGAAGAACGTGGACAGGAGCTCGGCTCAGCAGCTCGCTATAACGGTGGGCAATGTGACTGTCATCATCACAGACTTTAAGGAGAAGACCCGCTCCTCCTCCACCTCCTCCTCCACTGTCACCTCCAGCGCTGGCTCTGAGCAGCAGCACCTGAGCTCCAGCTCCGAGAGCACGGACAAGGGGTCATCCCGCGCCTCCACCCCCAGAAGAGACCATTCTTCTGGGCACAATGAGACCATGTGAAGGGGAAGAGATTCAGACACCGCAATCTCACTTGGCGAGGCCCGGAGCTCCTATAGCCAATCTCGTAACTGTACATGGAAGAGGGGTCTTTTCAACCCATTCAGACAATGTCCATCGTGACACATCGGCAGAAGTGTACCTGTCGAAAAACCCTCGTGGAGCACCTTGTAGATTGATATGTTGATGTTCACGTGAGTCACTGTCTGGCCGAGACCCACTGTATATTCTGTTCCCTACTCCTACCAGATATAATCCATGTTTGTGCACCACGGAAATCAGCGCTCCCAAGTTTGCATTATTATTGTTCATTGTCATTAAATTGTGCAGACGGCTGTTTTGACTTTGTGTTTAGAACGTAGAATCGTTTATGCTAAATGTACAGTATCTGAGCTCAATCCTCTATCTCTCAGACAGCTCCGTGTCAACGATCCGTTGTTGCGGCTATTTGTAGAAAGCGAGTTATCAACAAAAAGATCACGCTAGACCACCGTGTACAAGGAGATCTGTTCCCTTATTATTTCATATGACTCTTGTGTGTTTACATGGTGGAAACACAAACTGTGATTATGTGAGTTTACAGTATTATAAATACAAGGACAACTTTGAAATCCATACGGTGTACCATGTAGACATGTTTTGTGGTTCACAAGATGATAAGAGAGTATTTGGAATATTGTTCTTTATCTTGCTCTGTTTTTAGACTTTAAACCTTTGCATATTTCTTGTAAAATTATATCAAGATTCACAGTACTGTCTATTATTCAACTTCATGGCAATGAAAGTGTGAAGAGAGAAACCGGCAGTTGTTGGAATATGAAGCAGCTTATCTATTGGTGAGATTTCATACAGTATATTTACAGTTTACCAAGATCGCTACTGAAAATTTGGAAAAATACTCCCAATATAGCATAGTGTAGTAAGAACTGGCTGCTTCTCGCCCGTAAGGACGTTTTGCACAGGTTTACACATTCATTCTGACCTTTGTTAAAAATCTAGAAGCTTACAAAGCTAATAAAATCCTTCTGAAACTCATTACCATCTCAAAGCATCTTGGGCACTTTGATGTGATCATCTAAATTTTCTACAACCAGTTTTTTCTTGTATAGTAATAACCAGTGTTTAATGTGTTCAAGTCGCTATGAAGTGAAAATTCACCCTATCTGTTTTCTAAATGCATGTTATTGGTCTTATTGTGAACAGTTCATCCATGCTTTTTTTTGTTGTTGTTTTTTTGGACATCATGATGTTTAATCACAATGTCATAACTGGACCTTGAATATGTTGATTATTTTTTATTAATTATTTTATTTTATTTTGTGTATATATCCATTGAATTTACCACTGTCTTAGCAAACCTGCACAGTGTGAAGATATATATTCTTCAATCAACATCTCTTGCTGTTCCTTTAATTACTGGAACATCAATGAATTGTTGTAGGTCTCAATCCCACCCCATTAACCCTTAAATCAGAGGGTAAACAAAGGATGTTGATACAGTAACATGTCCTATCCACCCTCTGGTTTTAGCTGTGTTTTGGAACATAATAGCTGGTTTCTAGCTAATCTGAACTGGTCTTTAGCTGCTACCATGCTTCAAAAATCAACTTTACTACCCTAATCTAACCCTAACCTTACACTGTTATACTATAATATTATACTAAAATTAAAGTGAAAACTGAAAAAATTAAAATTAAAAAGCTCATTCAAAATATAAATAATTACTATAATAAAGTAGTTATTAATTTGAATTAGCTTTTATATTTTCACGATTTTAGTAATTTTATTATGTGATTTTGTCTCATTTATTTTTTGACGTATTTGCCATTTTTATTTTTTACACATTTCTATTTAGCTTTATTTTATTTTAGTAATTTCATGTACTTTTGTCATTTTATTAGGGTTTTTATACATATTTCTATTATTTTAAATTTATTTTAGTTTAACTTGAACGTCACTGCGACAACATTATCATTTACTAATTTTAAGTAATCTAATCACATTTTTGTCAATTTACGTTTTTCATCTAAAATTCGTATTTTATTTTATTTTAGATTTATTTCAAGTTTTTAACAATAACAATACTGGTTTATCGCTGGTACAAAATGGTCTACCAGCTAACGCCAGAAAATAGACCAAGTATAAGACAGGTGTCAGTTTAGGATTGCTTTTCCAACAGGGGTTTGCCTTGTTAAGCGCTTAAACTTTTAAAATTAGATCACTTATTTTAAAGGGGTCATATGACCTTGCTAAAAAGAACATTATGTTGTGTATTTGGTGTAATGCAATGTGTTTATGCGGTTTAAGGTTCAAAAAACACATTATTTTCCACATACTGTACATTATTGTTTCTCCTCTATGCCCCGCCTTTCTGAAACGCGTCGATTTTTACAAAGCTCATCGGTCTGAAAAAGCGAGGTGTGCTGTGATTGGCCAGCTATCCAGTGCGTTGTGATTGGCTGAATACCTCAAGCGTGTGACGGAAATGTTACGCCCCTACCATACTGTGATGCCCTGTCCGGCCGGAGCGACGAGACAAAAACATCGGTGGGCTTGAGAACGGCGCGGCCGGCGGATTCGACGAAGGAGCGTGTGACGACCCCGGGCTGGACTCCGCTTCTTCCACGGTGAAAGCCGATCCGGCGATGCACAGCGCGATGTTGATGTATTTCCTCAGTTACCAGCACGGATCAGCTCCAGGCATGACGAAGCAGATATCGTCCTCTTTTGGAAGACCAAACAAAGTAGTTTCGCTTTTACAACGAAGCACACAGCGTCTTTACGACATGGCAGCGGAAACAACAAAACTACAGCGAGAATAAAAGATATGCCTTCTTTCTTTGCTTGAACATTTGGGCAGCGTTATGCAAATCTTCCCACAGAGCGAGTAGGTATGTTGGGGCCTGTTAGAACGAGCTGTTTTAGGTAGGCGTGGCTGATTCTTAACTTTGATAAATAATATCTCTTTGGATTTGAGACTTTAGTCTTTGCAACTTTACAGATCTTCTTTATGCACCAAGAGCTTGTAACACTCCAAAGAGAAAGGAAAAATTTTAATCGCATCATATGACCCCTTTAAAACCTGTCTGAAAGCTTTTATTTTGAAGTGCGGCTGAGACAGAGGCGCTGCGTCTGACTTCACCTCCCCAGTCTGACTCTGTTGTTGTTGTGTCGGTGACGCGGCAAGTCCAGCCGGCCGAACGGCAAATGAGTCAGCATCAATAATCTGCCAATCTGTGGATGTGGAGATTAATACAGATCTCCCAGCAAAACCCTCACACATCGATTAGCTGTAATAAAGCAAAAATGGCGGTTCCTGCTGCCCCTAACCTGCAGCTGAATACGGCGAGACAAAGCAGCCCTGTGAACTCTACAGAAAATAACATCCACATCGACGAGAGAGAGCTGGAAAACATCACCAACCACATCGAGGACGGCACCTCGCTGCCGCTGCACTCTCCATGGACCTTCTGGCTGGATCGGTAGGCTGATGTTGGCATAATACTGTTATCATGGATTCGAGATTTTATATTCACAAAGCCTGTGAACAAAGGCCCAAGATTGGTATTTCTCATTTTTTATTGCTAACTTTACTATTTTCAGTTTCTAGACGAACACATGTAACACTAATAGATGGTTCAGGCGCCTGTATTTCGTGTTTGTAAGCTGTATGAGTGTCATAACGCACAGCTGATATATTAACTATATTAACACCTGTAGGTCATGGTTGTTATTTAATATCAGATGTCATGTTCTTTCTGAAGCTCTGTGTAATAGAGCATAATATGGTAAGGGTGTACCTCAAGGCTTTGTCGTGAGCCCATTTAAGTTTTGTTTGAGTTTTAAAATGTAGGACACTGTTAGTGCAAACTAACTTTTGAGATAATGAACTGACCACATCTATGTTGATTGATCATTCTATATATATATATATATATATATATATATATATATATATACATACATATACATATACATTTTCCTTAAGCTTCTCTTCCTTAAAATTCTCTCCAGTTATTTTGGTAATGATTTTCAAAGGGTTGAAGTCCTGTTTACTGTCCAACTGACATTTGGTTGCCATAATGATTGTGAAATGCTTTTTTTCTGTCTCATGGCGTGATCTCAAGCTCTGAATTGCACTTGACGTAAGACAGGAGAAGATAACAATAACACCTCTTTGAATGTATGATTTATGACACCGATATGGTTGATATACCAAGCTTAGTGTAGCAAAATGGCTTGTTTAAAGGTATAGTTCACCAAAAAAATAAAAATCTGTCTTTATTTACTCACCCACGTCATTGCAAAATTTTATGATATTAATTTGTCCGTGGAACACAAGAGGTAAATTTCTGAAGAATGTCCTGACCGTTCTTTAGCACATAATATGAGGCAGACAAGTTCCAAAATGACAAAAAGCACAGCACTTTAAGCAACCATCTGTCATTTTGAAGCTTTACAGCAACAGTTCTCATTCACTTTCATTATCTAGGCCACTCTTTTGATTATATTACTCAGAAATTCACCCTTGTTCCACAGAAGACAGAAAGTCATACAGGTTTGGAATGATATACGGGCGAGTAAACGATGACAAGAGTTTTTATTTATAGTGAATTATTATTATTAAAGCTATTAGTGTACATTTTATAATACTTTTTAATTCTTTATACATTCCAGGTCATTACCAGGTACAACGGCAGCAGAGTGTGAATCAAATCTGAAAAAGATATACACCGTCCACACTGTACAGGTAGGTGTTGCGCTATTATTATTTTCGTATTTGTATAATTGTAATTTTATAATTATAGGTACGTTTTACAAAAATTGCTGAAAAAGAGGTACTCTACCAACAGAAGAGGAGGTGCAAACAAAAATCAAAAAGTCATGTCAATTAGAAAAGGTGCAACACTCGCTCTTGAAGAAATCCAACTTTATTGGTAAACGTCACATGTATTTTAACCAATAAAGTTGGATTTCTTCGAGAGTGAGTGTTGCACCTTTTCTAATTGACATAATTATAATTTTTGCCTGATCCGCCTGAAAAACTAGTTCTTTTGATACTATTGAAGGTGTGGTGAAATTTCTGTTTTTGTGGAATTTTTATTGTGACATGAAAATTTGACAAGTCCAAATTTGACAGATGCTAACAAAAATTTATTTTTATGTTAGGACTGAGAATCAATATTTTGCTTGATCATTTTCTCCACTCATTATAGCTTCTATTTATATTTGTATATGCCTTAAATGAAATTAGGCACCAAAACATTATAATGGACAGTAATAGTGTTTAATAGTTTTGTAAACTAGCAGAAAAAAAGTTTACTGTTGGAAATTGAAAAAAAATATTGTCGCTGATATATTGTGCATCACCTCTTTTTCATAACATAAAGTGTTTCTGGAGTGTGTACAACAACATCCCTCCTGTGTCCTGCCTCCCTCTGAGGTGTAGCTACCACTTAATGCGAGGAGAAAGAAGACCACTATGGTTAGTCTTTCATCATATTCAGCCAATTATCAATATACTCAGCTGTTCGGGTCAGTAGGAATTTTGTTAAAAATAATACTTGTTATCAAGGCATTAAATTGATCAGAAGTGGCAGCTAAGACATTTATAATGCTACTAAACTTTTCCATTTCAAATAAATGCTCTTCTATTACACTTTCTATTCATCAAAAAATTCTGTTTATAGACTGAAAGTGTTAATAAAAAATGTATCTTAAGCAGCAGATCAACATATTAGAATGGTTTCTGAAGAATCATGCAAAACTGGAGTAATGATGCTTTGACATCACAGGAATCAACTACATTTTAAAATATAATCCGATAGAAATCATATTAAATTGTAATAATATTTCAGAATATGTTTCTGATCAAATAAATGCAGCCTTGGTGAGCATAAGAGACTTCTTTCAAAAACTAAATCTTACAGACCCCAAACTTTTTAACTGGAATGCATATCTGTCCTTAGCTTGGGAAATGCCTTTGGGACAATTCACGTAAACCATTTTGTTTGATTTATATTTGTTTCTATGTCTACACAGGGAAGAGGAAAGCAATGCCAAGGGAGGTGTTTGGAAAATGAAAGTGCCAAAGGAGAGCACAGTAAGTCTGCTAGTTTATTAATGGTGTCAGTTCAGGCCTAAAGCACTTTGACTTGTAGAATGCATAATGTAAATAC